CATGATCGTGTATGGGTCTACCGTGAGTTGAGGTCATTGGGTGATCCGCTGATGTTTTCCCATAAGTAGAGATGGATACCGATTCCCCGCAGGGGATTCTTCAATTCGGGGACGGGACGGAGGCGATTTAATCCTCGCGGGGGTTGAAACGGTAAAAATTTAGTCAACCACTAGTTGAGGTCATTGGGTGATCCACTGATGATGGACTCTACCGTAAGAGGTGATGCAGTGGTAGAGCCAGTGTTCCTTTGGGTCGTAATATAAGCGTAAATCCGTCAACCACTAGGCCGTGCGGTGGGGATGTGGCCGTCTCTTCCTGGTATACGATAATGATAAGCCACGATTGTCCGTCCGTGACTACGCAGGAGTAGGCCCCATCTGTCCATCTCTCTCAGAAATAGAAAAAATGAATCCCCACTCGCTCATCCTTATCTGTCCGGTGCCCGACGCAGTAGTATGGTCGCTCATTCGTTTGCACCCCTTCCCCCACTATGCGCTCATTGGTTGTCGTGCCGTCCCCTACCGCCCCGCGCCCCATCGCCGGCCGCGCCGCGTGCCCATCCCAAACACATGTGTCGCTCGCTCCCTCGCCGTCCGTCCGTCTCCGATCGCCGTCGCGCACGCCGCTTACCCCGCCATGGCCGCTGGGGCGCATGTGCGGTGGCGCCTCAGGTCTTCCCGAGCTGAGGCAAGGGCACCCATGAGCGCGGGAGGTGCGGTGGTGCTCGCCCGTTGCGGCTCGCCGCCGGCTCTGACCCCGATACCGGAATCGATCGACCCGACCTTCCCCTCTCCTATTGTTGCATATGTATGTTTCAAGTGTTTTAGGCATTTTAGATGTATGTTGCAATTGTTTCATCTTGCTGTTGCAAAAGTAGATCGATGGATGTTGCACATGTTGCATATGTTGCAAGCGTTTCAAAGGCATGTTGCAAGCATTTGTTCAAAATGTTTCATCCTTTTCCAGACGTATGTTGCAATCATTTTTTATTTAGATGTTGCATATGCTGCAATAGTATGTTTCAAATGTTTCAGTTGCTTCAGTCTTATATTGCACCAAGTGGTTTCATATTGTGAGTTACAAGTGTTTTTTTATGTTTTATTTGCTTCACACACATGTTGCAAGAGCATCTTTCAAATGTTTCATTTGTTTTCATTCTTGTGTTGCATTCATATTGCAAGTGTTTTATGTTGTTTGGCCCGTGAGCAAACCGGGGGCTGGCGGACGGAGGTCCTGGGGGCCGGCGGACGGGGGTGTGTAGGGGGCGTGCTCGTCCTCAGCCGCTCATCCCGACTCCCGTGTGTCGCCCGCGCGTAGAGTTGGAGAGAGAGAGAGAGAGAGAGAGGGAGGGTCAGGAAGGACCGGCGGGCGCAGAGATAGAGCGGAGCGCACTTGTGGGCGGGGCGACGGCAGACGGGGGCAGGCTGCGCGGCCGGTCCGGATGTCCAGGCGCTAGCCTCGCCCCTGGGTATATCATCGAGCGCTCGGCTTCCTTTGCGGTGGGCCGGACGGCGGCGAGACGGCCTTGAACGAGCGCACGGACGTGCCGATCGACGACCCCATGGACCTGAGAAACCCTTTGGCCCAACCCAACGCAAACAAGGCCAACGAGCTCGGGCAAGTCCTGTTACCCCAAAGGAGTTGCTTTTAGCGTCCTGATGCATGTGTGCACCCTAGCGTTCTGTTGGACATATGAAAACTAAGTCCATTGGATTTTTCAGGGAATTTACTTTCTAATTGTCGTGCTGTCAAACTCTGTTTGCCTTTTACCCTTTCTATACACTTAACAATTTTATACACTTAACGTAGTAATTCATCGGAAGACCGCTCTCATTTGCTAGTGCCAAATGTAGGAAAAACAGGAAAAGGCCATAATATGCTCACTAGAAGGCATGCCAGCCATATAGAAACAGTCTACTGGTGAATGTGCAAGAACTGATGTTTTAACACACCCTATCTCAACAAACCTGAACTAAACTGTCTCCATAACAAAACTTTTGAATGCCAGCCAAACCGACCACAACTCTGAATTTTTCAACCGCTTTCCTATGCATCATCAGACAATAGCGCCTGCACCATCCTTTTGTGCACCATTCATACTTCAATCCCCGCATAACAGGATGACACCGCCTCGCGTCGCTCCCCACCCTTTCCCTGCCTTCGCTACTGCAGGGCTGCCGCCAACCCCACCGCTAAATCTAGGTAAATGCCATTTGACCGTCCTGTGAGGGTGAAGGTGGCGGTGACGGGCAATGCAGGGAGACGTGAGAGGTGGGAAGACAGCGGTCTGGCAGTGACGGGCAATGCAGGGAGACGTGAGAGGTGGGAAGACAGCGGTCTGGCAGTATAGGCGGGTCAAAGTTGTGCTGATTTTCTATCTATCTTGACATGCTGGTTTACCAGCTCCGCATCCAAAGGAAAGATCAAACTTTTTTACCTTGGGTTGTCCCTCTTCATCTTCGATCTTGCACGTCTCCCATGTGTTGTGCAGATTTGTTTCACGTGAGGATAGATTGCATATTGCAATTGCCTTGTTTCTCCTGCTGCTTTCATATAGAGTATTAGTATATTATATGGTATTATGTTGTTTGGACTTGGGGTGGGGCCGGTGACATGCTACACTTGTTACAATGATATAGATTATGATACTCTGTATATATTTCCCTAATCCTTTTTCTGGGCCACCAAAGAGGTTAATGTTCCTGGCAGTTTTTATCGACAACAAAAGGAATTGGTGCAATTGTGCCTCGTTGTTATAGTCTCTACAGTGTCTTTTCCATTGCAATTGCTGCTAAAATTGTGTTCTGTTTGCATTGCCTTATATGTAAATAAACCTGATTATTTCCTTTGCTATTCCTTTTCATGCCTTTGGCATAAATTATTTTTTTGTCTTGTGTTTTCAGATGAACCCGTTAATGAAGCTTACAGTATCTTGGGTTTCCCTCTTTGGTGGTCTAAACGTCGTAGTGGCAAGTGTATGACCCCCTCTCTGTGTATGTTTGTGCGTGTTGCATAGCACGATCATTCACTTGCCTCTTCTCTATATGCTGCTTGCAGTGGATACCATTTGCAACACATGCTCTAGTCGCTTTTATCTTCCACATCCTAGCATTCGGAAGATATCTCCATGTGGACATAACAATGCCCACAAAGTCTGTGAAATGTGTTATCATCACTCCATTATGCTGCATCCAGACCCAGAAGTTTTCCGGTTTGGCTGACCTTGATCCGCGCCACCCAAACTGAGCGCTGCTACCATCGAGCGCTGAGGGTGGGAAACTAGATTCTTAGTTTACTACTCATTCAGTACACTTAAGATAGACTTGTTGTGGCTATTGCTATATGTGTGGCTTACTAGCTAGAATGACTAGTTTACTACTCATTTGGTACACTTAAGATAGACTTGTTAGTATTGCTATATGTGGCTTGCTAGTTGGAATAAATATACGACGAGATGATCTCTTTCCATTCATGTATGGGGTTAATTTGAAGGTACTAAAAATTAGCCATGTTTCTAAGGAACTTTGAAAACTCTGTCTGTATGCTTCTGCTGGAGAAGTGCGAAAATGCTAACCTTTTTCACTACTGCATTTTCTTCTTTTTATTAATTGAGAAACTCGTGGTGACGTGATTTCGGGCCATCTATATATTATATGACAACTTTGGTAGTTGAGATTGTGAAATTCAACTTAGTGATGGTAGATCGTGGACAACTGAGGGTCCAAAAGTTTGTTGCTCTTTGTTGATTTGGATGTGATTGTTTTGGCTACAATCCAATAACCTGGTAAAAGGTATTTGAGTAGTTTGTTGAATCGTGGAATCTGGCTAAGCACTTTTGGCTGGTTTTGATTCAATTGAATTATTACTCTATCCAAAGAAAGAAAGGAAAGGAAAGAAAAGAAATAGATAATAGTTGTGATAGTAGGAAATGGGTGGAGTTAGCATTTTGGAGGCAATGGCGTTGGTCAGTGTAACACAATCCAGGCTCTTATTCTACACCCATTAGTCAATACTAACAAAAAGAAAGTGTTTTAACAAAAACTATTGCTCTACCAAACAGGCCCTTATTCTACACCCATTAGTCAATGCTAACAAAAATTGACAAAAAAACTACCGAATACTACTGAGCCATACCATCAGTGGCGGACCTAGCACTAGGGCCACTAGGGCTATGGCCCTAGTCTTAGCTCTTAATTACAGTGGACAAAACACTATTTTTTCTATAGCCAAGCACAAATAGCAATGATCTCTAATGTAATGGACCTAGTCTTTGGTGAATCCTGAGTCCGCCCCTGCATACCATGTCTAGTAGTCGCATTCAGTAGTTAATACTGAAAATTTTGTAATGAACTACAGTGTCCGTTTCCACCAGGCCGCAGTTTTGGTTCAATGGCGTGCATCTCCTGCTGCTTGCTGATCCTGAGTCCTTACTGTAGCTCATGTGTTCGTTTCTTCATTCCTACTCTCAATCTTCTATGTTCTATTTCTCTATTTTTTTTTAAATTGGTCGACCTGTGTGAACCATAGAATGCTGACACACAACGGTCCAGTTTGTTGCTGGTTTCATTAAGTTAGGCCACCGCGTCCCAGGTGTGGTCTCCTGCACCAAGACCCCAAGCATTGGACTAGCCCCACGGCGACAACCACGACCTCGTCATCGCCTCGGGACAAGGTTGGATGCTGGATGGTAGACGAGGGGAGAGAGTGAGGGGTGGGGATGGATGGGACAATGGAATGTGTCCACTCCTTGCACACCTACACACTGCTCCCCTGGCATAGCACCTCCTAAACCCCTCCTAAATCCTGATGGTGGGAGTGATAGCATCACTCTAAATGGTACCTAGGGAAAGAAGAACTATAAATGGATAGCAATAAAGGAAACACATAATTTTTGATGTCATGGAAGGAATTTTTGTAGATTTTGATGGTATAGAAGGATTTTTTCAATGATGTTATGGAACTCAACATTTAGTACGCCACATTTTGTGGCAAGTCATAACTAACCTAAGGAGGGTAAGGCTAGTGGATCAAAGCCCCCATCCAAGGAACCAGGCTCCACATGTCTGACCTGACCATGCCGCCGGATATGGCGAAGGAGCCTGGCCATGAAAGCATTGTTACAAATAGTAGAAGTATCGCACACCACTGCAACATGTGACCTTGCTACATTCATGCGCCTTCTATCACCAAGGAACCCTACTGCTCCCAAGGAGTTTGACCGAACCTAACACAAGTGAGGGATGAAAAACATTTTCAGTATTTCAAGAAGTCACCCATTAACATAATGCTTGGTGTGTACGTCAACTTGATATTCTATTTTGTCACCTTATTGTAAAAACAGAAGGCACCAGAAAAAGACCATGGATATGACAACTTCATCTGCTTCCCGACCCTGGAAGCTGTCTATTGTTGAAACCTCAACATCAGAAGCCACTAGATATTCTTCTAGTCTTCCTTGTAACAGTTGTACTTGTGTGATGTAAGGGGACTGAACAACGATCGAAGTTGGAGGGACTCCTTCACAAATTAGTTCAATGCGTTATTAGCTTCAACATTCACAGAACCAATAGGGTGACACTACTACACAGTAGACAATTCCTACCGGCTCATAATGCATATGCAAAGATAATGAACTATGATATCATGTGATGAAAATTGGTTTAGGATGAAATTGGTATTGCAAAGTGATTGAAATTTTGGGTATATGTAATATGCATGTGTTACTTAGATATACTTGCGATAGCAAGCTAGTTGGAGAGAGACTCGTGGTAGTGTAATGGTTTTGGTATTGCTGCATAACACACTCATGTGAGGTATTGTGTGGATTGACTTGAGTCAAGCCATGGACTTGTGCTCATAGATGGTTGTGTCTTTGTTCATGTGCAGATGTTACTTGAGATTGGACATGGTTGATGATAGGACTGAAACTAGATTTAGGAGGAACTGAGGTTTCAGGACACTAGATTTAGGATGCCAGAAGCTGAAATAAACAGCCCAGCTGTTGAGTTGGCTTTTGAAAACATGAAAAGTTGGTTTTTGAGGAAACAAATTAAAAGCAATACAGCAAAATAAGATACATTCTCTGGCTTTTAGTGTGCTTAGAAGCAAGAAAAGTTCAAGGAGGAACATATGTCATATTAGTCAGGGATGTCATGTGGGATGTTCGGGCTAGAGGATAGTGCGCATGAAGGCTTGTCTATGCATGAGTGTGTGACTCATCATTGGCGGATGGTAATTCGGACTACCGACAATATTATAGAACATCGGTATAACCTTTAGATATTTAGAAGTACATGGGTGTGTGTATGAGGGTGGCTCAGGCCTATGTGATGCAAACAGACCAGAGCTCATGGTGCATCTTGATGTGTGATGACTAGTCTCAATATATTGGAGGGCTTGCATGGTTTAGCAGGTAGTCGGCGGCCTAGACTGGCCTCATGATGTTGGTGCATTGGTTGAACATAGAAAGGGCTTAAGGAGCTAGTAGGCATGTGGGCCCAGGTGATGCATGCACGTGTCACACATGCAATCCAATGGTACTAGGAGTTAGTGGGCTCATGCGTGTTCGGTCAAAAAATAAAATGAAACCAGACCAAATAAAGGCTTATACGTTTTTGACAGAAAAACATGACAGTTACTTATGGCTTAGATTCGAAAGAAGTCCTTATACATGGATTCTTGTGTGTTGCATCTTGTGAATTATAAATATATTATTAAAGTAATAATAAAGATCAATTCTCTCATGTTGATGTGTTGGTAATCCTATTTCTTAACTTTGCTATCTGATTTACATGCCTAACTTTTGATTTTAGATTGATTTCTTGTTCTCAAGTTTAGACTGTTTTTGATCTATCTAGAACTGTGCTAGGGCAATATGTTATTGATCAGAAGCTTCATTGGTTAATTGTTTACAGATTTTGGTTAATCATGAAATTAAAAGGGCTTCAATAATTATCGTCACCATCTAGCACAATGAGCTTGTTTATTTTGTATCCTTTTCTATAAATCAGATTGACATGATTCCAGTTGTGTCACTTCATATTTTTTTTTGAAAATGCAGGAGAGCTGCGCTTCATTGTATTATTAGAGAGTCACTTCACAAATTTTATGTAGTTTATTCATAAAAACTTGAGGTAAATTAGAGTTATGGTTTTTGAATGGCTGAAATTTTAGTAAAGGTATAATGTTGTATCCAAAATATGGTGCGATTAGGTTTTTGTGTTGAGGGAATGTGTTAAAATTTATTTTTAGCTTCCAAAATCATTGGTCCCCTCCGATTTCCTATCTTAGTGTGAATTGATCATACTTCAACAAAGCTAGAGGGAGGGGGGTTGAGGCCTCATCTAGGACCATGTTGTTTCCTCATCTAGGACTATGTTGTTCCCTCAGAGGGTCAACCACTTCAGATAAATAAACAAGAATGACATAAAAAGACAAAAAGATGCATGGCAAGTTCAGCATATAAGATCATAGTAGCATGATTAAAGAAAGCAGGAACATACCACATTGTATAAGATTGAGAACATGCTGTGCAACTATATCCGCCTCACCATTGTTGTAAAATGAACCAGTACCAGCTGGGTCTAAACTCTCCTCACAGTCAATATTTAGACTTCCATATGCCTTTCGAGTATCAAGTAACAACAAGGCACACTGAGTCGTCCAGGTGGCCTGAAATAAATAAGAAGTAACTTATCACCACTTAGGATGGAAATTTGACTCAAGAATTTAAGGGACTAGAGAGAAAATGCAATGGTATCTAGAAAAATATACAAAGCCATTAACACTTCAACGGTATAGCTATTGAAATTTCTTATTGAACTCTAAGCAATAACTCAGAAGGCTCCATAGATTTGGTCATCCAGATTAGAAATCAACATATTTCTCAAACCAGGGTTTATTATTTCACTTGTTGTAGTGTGAAATATATTTTATTCCTTAGGTTGAAAAAATGAGAAATACAAATGTTGTATGTAATACAGAAGCCGATGACTAGATTTTGATGAGGCAATGTAGTGTCAACCCCAATAAAACCAGTGGGAAGCAGTAACTTTTAGCATAATGGGTAAACAACATTTACTCTTGCGTCATCGTGCACAAGAGGACTTGGGGGCAAAATTGACGGCATCCAACCATCCATCATATCTCAACAGGAGAGGACTGCCACCACCACCACCACCACCACCGCCAGCACCTAGTGGCGCACCAAGTAGTGTCCATATGAAGTCTCCTTCCTTCCCTCTCCAGGCTCTCCTGTGTCTTCCTCCTTTTCCATTCTAGTTGTTCGGCGGGTTGTTGATGACAATAGTGGCATGGAGCACCATGATATGTTGACAACAATAGTGGCATGGAGTGTCATGGCAGTGCCTGATCTACAAATGGGGAATGCAAAACCATGCCACAGGCAGCCAGATCCATCATTTCCTAGCTCGACAATGGCTGCACACTAGTGCCACCTGCGGGCCGGAGCTGGTGATACTGCGAGTTACCCTCATGCTCATGGTGGTGGCAAACCTTCATGAGGGAAGGGTAGATCCATGCCATGAGTGGCTGGATTCTATATACTCCCCTTACTCATCAGTTTGGCATGGAGTCGCTGGTGGCATGTTGGTGGCTCCTGTGGCTGCACATAGGAAGGTTGGCAGCAGCTCCGGGGGTGATGGTAACATGAGTGGCACATCGGCAGCAAATCTGTCTAGCTGTGGGCATCGTGACGGTCTACATGTGCGATAGGATGGAGGCCTGGCTGCAGCCTTGTTGGTAGCACTGTACTAGCTGTGCATAGCAGCACTTGATGACAGTGTGCGCATGATGTGCTATACAACTATGGCTTCGCTTCCCCCCTCATTATTTTTGGTGGAGCGGGAAGTCCCGATCAAATGCCTCGCCTAGCATTTTACCTTACTAGTGGTCAGCACAGAAGCACTCACAATGTAGGTCACTTCCTTAGAAGCATGTCGAGGCGGCTGCTCAGGCGGCCATCCTGGACGCCCGCCACCATTAAAAATAGGGTGACACCACCCAAAATGAATCCTGTAGTAGTGCTTCCTACTCGCCTAGTTAGACTTTGACCTTGAGTGAAAGCTTGGTTTAGATTATGGATAGGCAATGACAGTATCTTTAAAGTTGCTACTCTCTGGGGTTGTCACCTTGGGTCTCAACATGTTTGATGGGTGAAAAGACCGAATGGGCCAAGAGGCAAGTGAACTGGACTCTAAAAATTTAAAGCAATGGCAACCTTAGCCTATGCATAAACTATTTCACCCACTTGCATTGCACAGTGACACTGTACCTAAGGCTAAAAAGATCACACTAAAGTGTCCTTATAGCCATCACGCTAAACATGTCCTTAACAAGAAATGACAATGAGAAAACTAAAGGAACATGCTAAGCAAATCTACCTAGAGTTTCAAGCAATGATGGATGCAACCTACGTAAGCAACTAGAGTGAGGCTCATGGTCACACTAACAGTAAAAACCTTAGGTGCAGAAAATAAATTGTATCACTAAGCACACTCTAGGTAGTTAATCTAGTTGTCACTCAACAAGAAGCAAAGCACAAGGCTAAGGCATTGAAGTAATGCAGTGTGGCAGAACCGCCCAAAATAACACGTTTTCGGAGACGCTCGTCTTCCACTAGACACTAAGCACCCTGAAAGTTAGCTACATCGGACAGTTCCGTCGAGCACACCCCAAGGGAGAACTCAAAACAATCCACATTTTACCGCTAGGATCCAATAATGAGTACAAGCTTACAACACTTAGTCCATTTCATACAACAAGAGTTCTTGAAAATTATTTATTACAATACCAGAGTTCAGGGTGCAATAATTAAACAACGGAATGAAAATAAACATCTAGCGGAAATGATACAAGGATCTGTCTGTGTCCACCAGAAGAATCCTCCACACAAGAGCTACTCCTCAAGCTGCACCTGCAATAGGGGTAAAATAAACCCTTAGTACACAATGTACTCGCAAGACTTATCCGACTAGTGAGAATAGTTTCCCAACTCTCAAGGATATGATAGGCAATATGGGTTTGCTGTTTTATTTTTGTTTGCGGAAAGCATAACTAAAGTTCATCCTTACAGTCGAGTTTTATTAGCAGTTATGATTACTTCATTAGCTAGCAATTCTAGGCAAGCACCTGTTCTACTTTCAAGCAAGGGTTAAGCAATCGAAACTATTTCACCATCTTTCATCTTCCAGTTTTTACTATGGTGATTCACGAACCAATGTATCCCAGCTGGGTACCCCGAAACACACGCCCCGTTTATACTCCAGGCACAAACAAGACCAACCCATTCCACTCCTGTCACGGGGTCTAGGTCCTCGTCCAAACTTGGACTCCAAGCCCCCACACTTGAGACCCGGTCTCAATATGGTGCTTAGACCTTCACCTTTCCCCGCCTCCAATTAGTCGGTCCGAAAAGAGCAGAATCCACGACAAGAGCATAACGAGTCTTCCCGCTCCCATAAGCAAGTATGTGCTCATGATAATAAGTCTGTGACCTGACTACCACCCACAGCAACGGACGGTCCTTAATCGACACGAACAGAGAAAACAGTGTAACCAAGTTAAGCTCGTTGACCGCGGGACACAACTTGTTACACCCACCAATACCCATACCATATCCTTGTCCTGTCTCTATTTTTCTTTCATCATTTTATTATGAGAGTAATAATAATCCCCTATTGTGAGCAACGGCAGGTTACTCACGCTACCAATGACCTAAGCATAGCATCTACTCGAACCTGCACTAGTAAGACTCTTAGAACAGGTGTATCTATGCATGTAGTTTTCATAAAATTCCTGTAACGTAAATGCACAATACATAAATATACGGTGAATTATAAAATAGTGGTTATGCACCGGGGCTTGCCATGGGCAGACACGGTGTCAGCTGAGTCAGCCAGTGGTGGCTCTGGGACCTCCTCCTGCATGAGAATCTCCTCCTCGTACTCCTCGACGATCTCCTCGAACTCATGATCGCCGGTGGTCATGATCTCCGCCAACTCATTCTCTACATGCATGCGATGATGATGCAACATTTAGCATTTAGGCAACAACAACTTTTAGACTAAGAATACGCATACTAAGCTACTAAGCTAGCTCTAATGACTAAGGTACTAAGCTAACTATCATCTTTACTAAGCAAAGTGTTGGATTCAACTAACAAACACCTAGCTTTACAAATGAAGGATATATCTTTATTTCTATTTATGATTTAATGTATATTGAAAGAAAGAGCATTTAACTACCCTAATACTTAGTCTATTCTAAAGCTATAAAAATTACAGTGAGCACATAATAATACAATGAAGCTACTATAAAAATTTTAGACTAAAGCTATCACCAATTTACCACAAAAATTCCTACAATAATTAACTTAATATTATTAAGCATCCTCAAATGATTTAATAGCCCCTAATGTCAACACATATAAACATGAACTAAATACACCAGCAGATAGAGTACAATTTTAGGAACCTAACAAAATTTGTTTCACAATTTTTGGACACCAACATGATTTTATATTAATTACCAAAGATTAGCTCAGAAATTAAATTAGAAAATTATTTGTAATTCCTTATGAAAACGAAAAGCGAATCTCTCATGCTGCCCACACGCCAAGTGGCCAGACCCAACATGAAAGACAAATGACAAATGAAGCGGCCTACACACATATCGGCCCAGCAGTATGTCATCCTGACGGGGAATCCCACGCTACCGGGCGCTTTTGTAAAATAGACCTTACACTTTTCTCGAATTACAACTAAGTCCTAACACTATTTCCCCTTCTCACAAGACTTCTCACTTAACCCCCTGGCTTTCCTGGAATTCCCCGCGTGCACCCTCGGCTAACCCGTGCCCGGCGGCACGGCGAGCGGTGGCATGGGGTGGCCACGCCGGCCACCAGAGACCCGTACTTAGGGATGAAAACGGATCGGATACGAACGGATATCACTCATATTATATTTGTTTTCATATTTCTGTTCGGATTCGGATTCGGACACGGATAGCGTTCGGATACATATACGAATACGGATTGACTTCGATTACGGATCTGAATAATGAGTATCGAATACGGTATGAATCGGATTCGGAGAAGGTCTGACAAATATCTATTCGGATATTGAGTAAAAGCAAGATATATATATATATATCATACGTGCATGCAAACCATTAAACCACTCTATGAGTCCATAATCCATCTAGATTAAGCCGAAAGACTAAAGAGTAAAGCAACAAATAAGATAAAGATACAGATACATCATACATCAAACATCATATAAGCACTAATCTTCGCGGCATGAGTAGAAATAGCCAAGCACATTGCTTCATGGGTCTCATGGAGTCATGGTCATGGATTCAAGATCTACAATCCTTATATAGGCCATTTTTTCATTTTGAGAAAGTTTGAACAAAATGTAGTTCAAATTTCACAAGTGTGTGACATAGTTTTAGAAAGTCCGTATGAGATTTAAGAATTTGTGACTAGTGTTTGATAAAACTTTCTCAAATGGGAAAATGAGCTATGTAACAATTGTATATCTTGCTGAGATGATCAAACTTGGTATTCAGAGTTTTTTCATCTGAGGTCATTTAGTGTCTCATTTGAGCAAGTTTGACCAAGTCAAATTTGGTCAAATGAAAAAACAACACTTTGACTCTAGTATTATGAACTCTAAATGACTTCAAATTGAAAAGTTTTGAATACCAAGTTTGTTCAACTCATCAAGATCTACAATTCTTGTTTTGGTCAACTTTCCATTTGAGATAGTTTGGACGGTTCAAATTTGTTATTTTTAAATTTCGATGCTTACAAACTAGTTTTCGAAACCCTAGATTGTCTCAAATTGAAAAGTTTTGAATACCAAGTTTGTTCAGCTCATCAAGATATACAATCCTTATATAGGTTATTTTTTCATTTGAGAAAGTTTGAACAAAATGTAGTTCAAATTTCACAAGTATGTGACATAGTTTCAGAAAGTCTATATGAGATTCAAGAATTTGTGACTAGTGTTTGATAAAACTTTCTCAAATGGGAAAATGAGCTATATAAAAATTGTAGATCTTGCTGAGATGATCAAACTTGGTATTCAGAGTTTTTTCATCTGAGGTCATTTAGTGTCTCATTTGAGCAAGTTTGACCAAGTCAAATTTGGTCAAATGAAAAAACAACACTTTGACTCTAGTATTATGAACTCTAAATGACTTCAAATTGAAAAGTTTTGAATACCAAGTTTGTTCAACTCATCAAGATCTACAATTCTTGTTTTGGTCAACTTTCCATTTGAGATAGTTTGGATGGTTCAAATTTGTGATTTTTAAATTTCGATGCTTACAAACTAG